ACTCGGGAGCCGGAACCAAGCCGTCACCCAAGAACAATGTCGAGCACTTGACCAACAACCTCATCCCTTACAGCTTGACGGATCACATTCACGAGAAGGAGATAAGTTCGCAGCTCGGCGTGGATGTGGGGTTCATCCCTCACGTCGCCGTCTGGTTTCAGGGTATCCACCACACCATCAACATCCCTCTTAACAAGACGATGACATCCCGAGATATCCGCCAATTGTATGCGGAGCGGTACACGGGCGAGAAGTTGGTCAAGATCACGGGGGAGGCGCCCCTAGTCAAGGCTATCAGCGGGAAGCACGGCGTTGAGATTGGCGGGTTCGCCGTCCACAGCTCGGGGAAGCGCGTCGTCATTTGTGCGACTATCGACAACCTGCTGAAAGGAGCAGCTACACAATGCTTACGTGAGTATTTGCCCTCCTCTCCCTTTCTCTCCCTTTACTTTCTCTGCCATTCAGTCGTCCATAACACCCATTCATATCACCTTTCCGCACCATACTAACTGCTCGGTACAGAAAACATGAACCTGGCTAGGGGATATGCGGAGTTTGAGGGTATCCCATCAATGGACTAACTCTGCATTGCGAGATGAGTATTGAAAATAATTAAACGGCTATAAATCGATGAAAACGGACGTTCACACGCAGTCACCTTATTCCTTTTCCCCTGCATTTGATCCTCCCCGGGTTTCGTTCTTTTTTTTCTTTGCGTAAAGGTGGTGGGTGTTATAGAGGTTTACTTTTTTGCTCATCGTTGTTGATGGGGATTGAAGAGGTAGTAGAAAGGGGTCACAAGAGAAGCTCAAGGACGAGGAAGGCATACCAAGCTTTGTATATACCATTATACCTTAGGTCAACCTGGATCTCATTACGAACGAAATACTTGCAGCTTGTTAGGGTGACATATATGACTTTTCATGAAATGGATACATGTAGGTAGGTACTTTATTACCTACTTTATAGGCCTATTTGAGTGGGTAGTGGTTCGAAATACGGTTGCGTTAAAGGGATGTGATTATCATGAAGCTGCCAGTTACTTACCCCTGACGATCTCACTGCCACGTTCCGATGGCCGGACCGCGGGGTTGATGTGCTGCAAGGCGGGGCAAAATTTTGTATCATTGTTCGCCCTAACTCAATAATCAACACCATTCATTCACCCATCTAGCCAGCCGCGCATACGACTCCTGGTCAGAGTAGAGGATCAATTCGATTCCTTTCATCATGGCTTCTCAATTTCCCACCAAGAAGTGCGGTGAGTATACCCATTGCCATCCTCTGACGGCCTACCTGCAAACTACCTACCTACGTACGACTGCGACGACCCGGTACTGATACAAGAACTACATATAATAGGTGTCCTCGGCTGCACCGGCTCCGTAGGCCAGCGCTTCATTCTCCTGCTGTCGCAGCACCCGCACTTCGTCCTCCACGCCGTCGGCGCCTCGTCCCGATCCGCCGGCAAGAAGTACAAGGACGCCGTGCGCTGGAAGCAGGCCTCGCCCATGGGCCCCGTCGGCGAGCTCGTCGTCCGCGAGTGCAAGGCGAGCGAGTTCGCCGACTGCGACGTCGTGTTCAGCGGTCTGGACTCGGACGTGGCTGGTGATATCGGTAAGGCCTCCCGAAGAAGAAGAAGAACAAAAAGCGGGAGAGAAACAGGAAGAATAAGGGACTGACAAGACGCGGCCCTGCCATGAATTGCAAAAAAACAGAGATGGAATTCCTCAAGGCGAACCTGGCCGTCTTCTCCAACGCGAAGAACTACCGCCGCGACCCGCTCGTGCCCCTGGTGGTGCCGACGGTGAACCTGCCGCACCTGGACCTGATCCCGCACCAGCGGCGGCAGCACGGCCTGGACCGGGGGTTCCTGGTGTGCAACTCGAACTGCGCCGTCATCGGGCTGGTGATCCCCTTCGCGGCGCTGCAGGCGCGCTTCGGCCCCATCGAGGCCGCCAGCGTCGTCACCCTGCAGGCCGTCTCGGGCGCGGGCTACCCGGGCGTCAGCTCCATGGACATCGTCGACAACGTGGTGCCCTTCATCTCGGGCGAGGAGGACAAGCTCGAGTCGGAGGCGCGCAAGATCCTGGGCGCGCTGTCGGCCGACGCCACCGCGCTCGCCGACCGCCGCGACCTGCGCGTCAGCGCCGCCTGCAACCGCGTACCCGTGCTCGACGGCCACACGGCCTGCGTGTCGCTGCGGTTCCGCGACCGCGGCGCGGTGCCCACGGCGGACGACGCGCGGCGCGCCCTGCGCGACTACGTCAGCGACGCCCAGCGCCTCGGGTGCCCGAGCGCCCCCTCGCCCAGCATCGCCGTCATGGACGAGCCCGACCGCCCCCAGCCCCGGCTCGACCGCGACCTGGGCCGCGGGTACACGGTCAGCGTCGGGCGCGTCCGCGAGGACGACAGCGGCATGTTCGACCTCATGTTCGTCGCCCTCAGCCACAACACCGTCATCGGGGCCGCCGGGTCCTCGATCCTGAACGCCGAGGCGGCGGTGCTGAAGGGGTTCATCTGATTTTGGTGTGGGTTTCGAGAGTAAATGGGAGGGCCGGCGGAGAACGAAAAAGGGGAGAAAGGGGAGGAAAGGAAAGGAAAATGAGCTAGCAGAATAGACGGAGTGGTAAGATTTGCATTGCATTCACGGCGTCCGGCAGTGGTTTTCTTTTCTTTTGGAACTGTCTCTTATAGTTTTCAGGCTCAGGAAGGGAAAGGGGGTAACAGAATGAGGTGGATGGGTAAAAAAGAAATTAGAAAGGGGGCCGGGTGGTAGTGGGTGGTGCATATAGAATTCAAGGTACCTTTTTGAAGGTGGGAGAAAATAAATGATGTGTTAAACGATTGACTGATTGGTGCTATGTCTTTGAGATTTGTACTATGGCAACACTCTAGGTATGCTGGGGATAGGATAGGGTTGCTGGGTGTGTATGTCGTGTGGGATTTTAAAAGGGGGAGGGGGGAGGAAAGGGGTTGACTCAGAGACCAGATGATTGGATGTCCTCAACTTCTGGCTAGCACCTGTCTTCCGCATGACTTCATGGAGAACAAGCCTGATGAGCCGAATTTTGGTAATGGTACGCTTGATAGTGTTGCCCCTGAGTTGGATTGGGAAATAACCGATTAGGAAGATTTCTTCCCTCCCTCCCCCCTTTTATTTTCAAAATGATGTTCTATGTGGATTATTTTGGAGCTCAGAAAAGAAATAAAAGGATGAATTGTGAGATGGACCTAATTATAAGGGGGTATGGATTTATGTCTGAAGTGTCTCTTTCGTATACGTAAATTGTAAGTAGAACTTATAATATTCATATTGATTTACTGTTTCCATGCATCACCGATCCATCAATCCATACCCGTGAAGAGTAAAGTAGTGTTGGCATCGCCTAGGTAGACTATGACGAGGCCTATCGAGGAAGGCCTATGACAAATACGTACGTCTTCGAGTCTCGTGACGTGAGAGAGGCCTGCGTGGCTACCTAGCAAGTCGAAACTTGAGCATCTATTTATCGTATTGTCGGCTGGTTGAGCGTCAGGCTTTCCGTAGTTACTGTGCAAATCCCCCTCGCGGTCCAGCATGGAAGGCTTGGGGTCTAGAATTCAACTTTGCCATGTCTATGTCATCAGCCTGCGTGCCTCAGATGGTGCCTTGCTGATGAACAATAGTTGTTTACGATATCCGCGGAGCCCGTGGAACAGACTGGTCGATCGACAAGAACGGGGAAGTGTCATCCCAGACCAGGAAGGTGTTTTGGTTGAAGAATATGGTAAGTCCGCTCCCATCATGGGGGCTCTCTTGCAGGGTTTTTCCCGAATTCCCAAGTCGTGGGGTTGATCGTGTCCATTTACCTGAGGTGTGCCCACGTGTCTAGAAACAGCCAGTGCTGGGTTCATCTCGTGTGGATGGGCCTGAATGCATTGAAATGGTGGTGAACGGGTTGAAATCTGACTTAATGGCCTCCTACTGACAGAGCTTGATACGATGGACTGTGCCATTCTCTGATACTCAAAAAAGAAATAGGGGACACAGAACAGTCATCTGAAAGAATAAGTAAGTTCAGGGGTAATTCTCCCACCGAGGGTTGTACACACCAGTGCCTTCACGAAGTAGCCCGGTGAACACATGCAACCAATTTCCGGTGATCACTATCGTTCGTCTTATGACTTTATATCTATCCCACTACCACATTTACAATTGATAGATCCGAATACATCTTTCATCGAGCTCGGGTTGGAAAACGGGCAGTCTTCCTGCTACTGTAGTCTCGGCGAGAGTAACACAAGGAAAGGGGGTCTCGATTTACCAAATAACAGACACACACTTGATATGGCAGCACATGGAACTGTACATAATGCACTCCCCCCCCCCCCCTTTTCTTCTTAAAGAAAAAAACAACCATAGAACTCATAGTAAGATAGACTGTGGCCAAGGTTACAAGGGAAACTCTGGGGGTTTTAAGAAAGCCCAGTCCACAGCCGTGTAAGGCGAATTAACGCCATGGGAAATTGATAGCGTCAGTCACTTTGGGAACTAAGTACCTTAAAAGTCATAGAGTAGATATGTTTTTCGGATCTCATGAAACTGATCATGATCAACTGGATGCTCAACCCGCGGGCCTATGGCAACATAGGGAGAGAGTACGCCATTCTTTCGAACGCTATGGCGATGTCTTACACACTTGTCAGCGGAAAAATAGAGCAAAATTTAAAGAAGAAACAAACATGACTATAATCAGCTTATTGCTACCAAAAGAGAGTTTTTAATAATAGGAAGAACGACATGTAGCGGGTATTAACTGACCAGCATCCAGCCGGATAGGCAAAAAAAACCTATGGTTATGCCTTCCAGCACAAGCCACAACGCCACACTGCCATACCAAAAACGCAGTCCTTTCCTTCCTTCCTCGGACGCCGGATATTCAACCAACCTACAAATCAACCAAGAAAACAAAAAGAGTACCTCAGGGAAAGAAAATGCAAAAAACTAGAAATTGAATGGCCTCATCCGGGGATTGAACCCGGGACCTCTCGCAAACAGAAGCTTTAGGGTACACCCTAAGCGAGAATCATACCGCTAGACCAACGAGGCACCCGATTTATGACTTTGAGAGAGTAATTAGAATTTATAAAGCCGACCGGGAGCGAGGTCCCAATAGTTTATGGAATAAAATCACCTAATGCCGAGAAAAGACTAGACTATGCTACCCGGGAGAGTAGTCGATGGACTAAGAGGCGCCCCGGTCCCCTTTATTTAAAAGGCTAAGCTTATTAAAAATAATTTCTAAGTTATAATTTATTTTAATAAGCCACATTTAATTATAACGACGTATATTTACTCTATATAATAATTACTTTTATTATAATATATTATAAATAATTATTTTTTATAATTTATATTATATAAAAATAATAATAATTTAATAAAGCAAAAAAAATAATAATAAAAAGCGAGGCTTTTATATTAATTTTAATAATAATAAAAGCTCGATATTAGCGTGTATTTTAGGTTTATTTTAAGCTATAAAACGCTATAAAACTTTAATTTTTAACGTTTAAATTATAAAAAAAATAAGTTATTTAATTATAAGCGATAAAATCGAAAAAAACTTATTTAATTAAAAGCTAGCGTTTATTTAAAGCTTATTATAAATTTAAAATTAAAACTTTTAAGGTTATTTTTTTTACGTTATATTTATTTTTTATATTTAGCTTAATATTAAATAAATTATTTATTATATAGCTCGTAAATATATTATAAATAAATAATTTAATAGTTATAAATACGTTTTTTATTAATTTAAAACTTAAATAACGATATTTTTAAACAAAAAAGAAAAATAAACTTAATAATTAAAACGTTATCGTAGCTTTTATAATTTTTTTAATATAATTATATTAAAAATAAACGTAAATCGATTATTTATATATTAAAAAAAGCTAAAAATATAACGTTTTTTAATAAAATAAAAAAACTATAAAAAAACTTTATTAATATAAAAATAAATATTATAAAATAAATAAATACGATAAATAAAAATAATAAAAAGCCTACATGAAAAAAAAACTTAAAGATAATATATTTAATAAAAATAATAAATCGCGTTTAATTATTCGCCGCGATTAAACGAAATTTTATTATAATATATATTATATATAATATTTATATAAGATATAATATATAATTTAAAAGCCCGAATTTTTTTATTAAGAAATTATTATAAATATAATATATTTTTATAAAATATACGTTTTTTAAAAATATATTACAATAAAAAAAAATTTTATATAATAAAATATATTTTTAAAAATTATATATAAATAAATGCCTTATTTTTATAAATATATTATTTATTTATATAAAAATATAAGTTATTTATATAAAAATATAAGTTATTTATATAAAAATATAAACTATTTATATAAAAATTTAAATATAATAAATAAATATTTTTTTAAAAAATATTATATATTTTATAATTAATTATAATTTAATATTATTAATTAAAATAGCGCTTAATAAATTAATAATTAAATAAATTATTTTAATTTAAAAAAAAGTTTAAATTATAATAATAAATATTTTAATTATATAATTATAATAAACGATATATTTAACGATATAAGCTAATAAATAATTTATATTAAGATTTTACCGGGATTTATAATTATATTTAAATAAAAAGTCTTAGATATAGCGTATATAAGGGATATAATATATCGAATCGGAGCCCGAATCGTATGCTAGATCAGGGGTAACCATTGTAACTTACATTGGCTGACGATACTTTTCATGTTTCAAGAGGTCAGTCACCATTCGCAGATAGCTTCAGCCAGACCTGATCGATGATAAGCCCGAGCGAGATAGCACTTAGTTAGTTCCATATGAATCGTATGTATCTATCTCCTGTTTCCCAATTGGGGCCCCCAGCGAGAGGAGGCCTACGATGAGTTTCCAGGTCCCGACTTTCCAGGTCCCAAGAGCAAAAACAAGAGACTACCTAATGGAGAAGAGAAAGCTCGTCGAGTTCTGAGAGTGAATCCTATGCCTGCTTCTGCCGTACCAACAACCCAAAGATCCTTCCGACATAAGATTACATACATGCATAACCTAGTATCTATCTGTATGAGGTAAAAATTGCCGACGGAGAACCGAAGTAAAACTCTGTTGGTTAGGTAGCAAAGCCACACACAAGCAACGTCGCTTGCGTTGCTTGCTTGCGTACCAAACCCAATCGGAATTATAAAACCGTGATCTGAATTTCACATGAAGGTCCAGTACCTACCTTTCGTCCTGAGAGATTGTGTCTATATATATATTTATATATATAATGTATGCTAAGTAGCTACCTAGTTGTAGAAGAAGATAGTGAGCGGCCTCCTCAAACCCCGAATCCCTCTCTTCCTTCTCCTTATTATACACATCGAACGAACCGCTCCGATCGTCGACCAAGGAAGTCAAGTAATAATATGGAACTCCGAAATGACACTCAGGACATATATATAAATATTGATCTGTAGGTAAGTAACAGATGAATAAACTCGGGATACCAGGAAGAAAAAAAAACCAAGTCAGAACGCTCCCCAATGATGATGATGATGATGACAACGATGATGATGATAACAGAAATCGTCTTCAAACAGACCACACCGATATCGCCCAACCCATGCAATCCAACCAACCACATTGATCATCGTGAGATAGAAGAAAAGCTATATATACACAGACGAACGAGGGCCCTGGGATCAGGGAGGGGAGTCTCGTTCTTCATCGTGGTCAGTCATTAGATCCTGTTACACCTGGTCCCATCTTTCTTGCTTTCTTTCTTTCAAGACAGGAAATATATCTGACGGAGAAAGGGAAGAAAATAATGGTATCATCATTTCACATGATTCTGTACGGAATCCATCCTTTCAGCCCAACTCAGTCCATCTCTTTCTTTTCTCGACCGCCCCCCCGCCGCCCGCTCAGAAATCCGCGAAGAGGTGCTCGTATCGCTTCGCCAGCTCGTCGGTGTACGGCTCGTGCTTGCCGTCGTCCTCGGGGTAGACGTCGAAGCACTGGGCGTCGCCAGGGAAGCGGACGTTGGGCTGGATGGGCGGGCGGACCTGCCGCCGCAGCAGCGCGTCCCAGTCGACGCCGTGGAAGAAGGGGTGCGACTTGACCGGCTGCGAGCCCCCGCTGATGTTTCCTAACCGCCGCGACCGGTCTACCGTGCAGAAGGACCGGATGATGTGCTGCGCGTTCGGGGAGATCTGCGGCTCCTGCGGAAACAGCACCGGCTTCTCGATAATTCTGATGGCGCACCCCGTCAGCTCCTCTCCTGTCTATTCTAAAGGTTCACGACCGGACAAGACTTCTGCAAGCAGAAACTGCGCGATTCCGAACTAAAACTTACTGTTTATAGATCTCTATTGGGTTCTGGTGCCAGAATGGCGGATAACCCGTCAGGAATTCGTAAATCAGGATGCCCAAAGCCCACCAGTCGACGGCCGTGGTGTGCCCCTTATTCTGAATCACCTCCGGGGCGAGATATTCCGGCGTTCCACACAATGTGTATGTCTCAACCGGCCGATCGTCGCGACTCCCGAGCCTCTTGGCGAAACCAAAATCGACGAGCTTTACGTGCCCGTCGCTATCCAGGAGCAGATTTTCGGGCTTCAGATCACGGTACGCGACGCCTCCCTGCTGCTCGTGGAGGTACTCCAGCACCAGTACTATCTCGGCCGAATAGAACTGCGCCCACTCCTCGGGAAACCGCCGATGCCGTCGCAGGTAGCTGAAGAGCTCGCCGCCGGGGACGTAGTCGAGCAGCATATAGAGGGATTCGCGGTCGGAGAAGGTGGTGATGAGGGTGGTGATGAAGGGGTGGCCGGCGACGTCGTTGAGGATGCGCCGCTCGTCGCGCACGTGGTCGATCTGTTTCAGCTTGATAACCTCGGCCTTCCGCAGCATCTTGAGGGCGAAGACCTTCTCGCGTTCCTCGTCGCTGCCCGACGCGGGCCGAACTAAGCATACGCGTGCGAAGGTGCCTATCGCATCGTGTGGCGGTTTCAGTCAACGGCAGTTCTCGCTTTTCACGTGGATGTTTTCTTCTTCTTCTTCTGTTTAAAACAAGACGAGAATGGTAAGGAGCCTACCGGTGCCCAGAGTGCGTACCAGAGCAAAATCGCTCAGCTTCAGTCGCTGATGCTGCGGTGGCACCTTCGGTTGCCCCGCGTCTTGCGGTTGCGAGCCCCCGCTAGATTCCATGCTCGCGACCGGCTTCACGTCGTGGTCCTGTCCGACTCGGGGTATGTGGCCACTGGGTTTGGCAACCGTAGCTGCCATGATAATTATGTTGTGATTTCGCAGATGAGCAGGTATATATCGAGGGCTACCTAGGTACAGTAGAGACGTAAGCTGTAACAGGATTTTGCCCCGGGCCGCGTTCGCTATTCCTGGGACGGCGACTGTGACTGAGCCCGGCAAGGATCACCTCTGACTTGGCGGATGCAGGGTAACGAATAATACAGACACGAGGTAAAATCTGGCTAGAGGATACACATGGCAGGAATACCTTAGAGACTTGGGTTCCTACTTAAGTATGTAGACAGTATAGCAGTATATGCAGGCAGTATAGGTAGGCAGGCAGTATGAGATTAGAGATATAGAGTGAGCATATATCAAGAAATAGAAGAAGACGAGGCAGAGAGGGAAGGGCGCTAAGAAGAGAATTTAGGAAAATGAAAATTATCAAAGGCTGAGGCGAGGCGATCGATGGCTCTAAAGTTCTAGTTAAGCGCATACGATCGCGGGATTGCGATTGTGTGAGGAGACCAGCAACCAGACCAGACCAGACCAGGTGCCAGGAGGAGGTTCAGGTCCATCAATTGCAATTGACAAGGAAGCCGATGACGTTGTTGCTGCAGAACTGAGAACTGGATGCCTCTCCTGGAGTACCTGGGTACCGATATCGTGGCATAGCGCCTCGATTGATCTGGGGTATTCAGTACTTTCGGTGGCTAAGGTGAATGAGGGCGGGGCTCGGCGGCTAGTAATGAGATGGAACGGTGCAAGTGGAGAGTGTTAACCTCGGGTTTTTTATTTTC